CATCTGTCTTTTATATACAAAGTAATGAAAATCATCAAATTCTTGAATAATTTAAAGTTCTATAGTACTTGGAAATGAAGTAGTTTACCAAACAAACAATAATAAAACAACAATAAACATAATATTGTTTATACAGTATAAACAAACTTTCAGATTTATTTCTTAACTGCTTTGATGCTTTTGGCAAAATCACTTTGCTAATTCATTCCCACCCTTGTTGTATGACACTAAAAGATAAATTTGCTAAAAATGTGTTCTTTTTTTACAGAAAAATACTAAAAATATACTATTCACATGCTACAGCCTTTTAGCAGTCAGATTAGCCTATAAAATTGGATATATGCTAAGATTATTAATTATTGAATATGATATTAAAATATGCAACATTATAAATATTAATATGCTGAACTTACACTTCATAATGCAGTATTGAAATGCGTCCAGATCTTTAAGGTTAGCTCTGAAACGTCTCTGTTGTTATAAATGGCTAAACATACAATTTCAAAAGTCTGTAATAACAGAACTTTACTCAAAAATTATTGAAATGTTTATTCCTTTTTTAGTCTTTTATGTTGTACTGTATAATATTGATAATATTGTCCAGCCAGTAAAATAGTTTCTAGTGGATAAATAAAGCCCATCTGTTAAATACTATAGGAACAAAAATTAATATAGTGAGATGATTGGTCTAGCTTTATTTATGTGATGGCACAAGTTATTATGTTTGCGAGTTTTATTTGATTAAATTGCAAACTTAAATTTTCTGACATGTGGAAAGATTAGTACTCAAACAAAACTAATCGTTTTCTGGTAAATATCTAACACCAAAACATTAAAATTAAGATTTCTAAAGTGACATCTTCTTAATACTGCATAAAAGAGATGGTGATTACGGATGAAAGCTAAGATAATGATGTACTGTATTATAATTTTGTTCACGTCCAGATCTTTAAGGTTAGCTCTGAAACGTCTCTGTTGTTATAAATGGCTAAACATACAATTTCAAAAGTCTGTAATAACAGAACTTTACTCAAAAATTATTGAAATGTTTATTCCTTTTTTAGTCTTTTATGTTGTACTGTATAATATTGATAATGTTGTACTGTATAATATTGATAATATTGTACAGCCAGTAAAATAGTTTCTAGTGAATAAATAAAGCCCATCTGTTAAATACTATAGGAACAAAAATTAAAATAGATGATTGGTCTAGCTTTATTTATGTGATGGCACAAGTTGTTGTTATGTTTGCGAGTTTTATTTGATTAAATTGCAAACTTAAATTTTCTGACATGTGGAAAGATTAGTACTCAAACAAAACTAATCGTTTTCCGGTAAATATCTAACACCAAAACATTAAAATTAAGATTTCTAAAGTGACATCTTCTTTGTCCAATCAATCATACACTAGCTTAGCTATCAATCATTTTACATTCAAACAATAAGAACTGCAGGATGCGACAGGTTCGTGGATTAAGAAACGTCACTACTATTATGTCACGTTTGCATTGGATTAATTTTGACTATACCTTAATCAAATTGTACCTCAGTTTGAACTACTGTACCTGTTCCAGTCAATTTTAAGTAAGGTTTTGCGCACCGTGTAATCAGTACTGTATAATCATCTTCTGTGAAAAAAGCGATGTGTATGGTTTACTATGGTATACATTAGCAAGCACTCTGGAAAATTTACCATGTCTTGCTGTTTTCCTTTTACTTTTCAAATCGGGGAAAAACAGCGTCGTTTTTCTCAGTGGACACTGTTTACTCAGTAAAACACATCGCTTGACCAAGCAGGATGATGTTTACACTGGAATTTTGTTGGTCCAACTACTGATCACGTACATGATTAGATTGACCGGAAAGTGTCAAACCAAACTGGGCTTTATTTAGGATCACTGCATTCATTGATATACTGTAATGATTGCCTACAGTCTAGTGGGGCAACAGGACAGCTGAAAACACCAGTAGAGGAAAGTAGTTATGGCACTGCCTGCCCTGATAATTTCATGGGCCTCCACCTACCTCTGTTAACCTACAGTAATTGCCCATACTTAAAATCCATTCTTATTACGGTAATTAAAGTTTACCAACATTATCATCCCACAACTTTAAAATGTCTACCACTCATCCTTAGTATTCCATAGCTACAAACCTTCCAGTATACAGCAGCAGCGTAGGCCTACAGTCAGCAAAGAGCACATATGTTGATGGAACATTAACTGAATACGAAACATCTTGTTCTGAGCATAAACAATTCATTCCAAGTGAGGACTCCAATGCTTAGGTGAATTAATGGACACACAGATGGTCACACTAAATGATAATTGCATTCAATGCCTTATTAGTCAGAAATCCTTAAATTGAGCCTGTAACAGATTGATGAAGCTACGTACTGACCAAAGCCAACATTAGCAACTGCAGTTCCTAATGTTACGGACTAAAAAAGCACAATTTTTATCCAAACCAGAAAATCTTTCTCCCTTATCCCACCAAGGATTTTACTAGTGTCTATATCCAGATTAGATGTTCTTGGTGGCCTCCTTGATTTAGAACCCATTCTTCCCCCCACCACCCCTCCCCCCATTTGATTGCCAGTGGAAAAATATTTGTTTATCTTTTTATTGGGTTCAATAAATGTATATTATTAAAAGACAATTGAAACCTCATGCAGTGCTGATAACATTGCATTTTACTGGGCCCTAAAATCACCAATTATAATTCATGATTTAAGCTAGAAAACATCACACATAATGCAAATCATAACAAATAAGTAATAGCAGAGAGAGCAGCTTAGGGGTCGTTCACAATTAATAATAATTATCAAGTGTACAAACAGTACTCTTTTACGGTACCCCCTCCCCTCCCATCTGTAATTGTACAAAAAAATGTTGATTTTGCAATAACCATTCTGCATTTTTTTGTGAAGCAATGTACTTGGTTGCTTAAAAATGAATATTATATCCATTGTTACATTATAATTTACCATTACTTTACATATTGCATGTTTATTTTGAATCAACATTTTCATGCATATGTAAAGAGTGTACAAACCCCTTCTCCCTAGCGTACTGTTTGTACCCTCGTGAAAATGTTGATAATGTTGAACGACCCCTTACACGACCCCTTACTGTAGCTCAGTCAGCTACTGCAACACTGGTGGCAGCCACTGTGTGTGCACTCAACCATTGAGATTCTTACAAAACCTTGGTTACTCTTTAATTTCTATTGCTAACGACTTGTGCTTACACAATGGAGGGGTGAATGCAGGTTTCAATGGCAAGCATTCCACCAGCATTAGATGCTTAAGCCACAATTGGTCTTGTATGTCATAGGGCCCATGTTCATGTTAAATGGGAAAAGAACCGGTATTAGCCAATCCATCAAAGAGGAGTCTTTCACAGTGTTTTTGGTCACGGTTGGTATATCCTATCAAAACGAATGCATAAATTTACTAATATTAAGGATGCATACCTAATGCAGATCTATGCTACTACAATGCACTTTTGTTTTCTTGGCCATTCAACCAAATTTTGTATAGAAACCTTGTTCTTCCTTGGCTTGGCCCTCCTTCTGTGTTTGAGGATCACTAAAATTTATCATTTAAAATGAACCTGCTACACTCACCTGAAGGATTACTAGTCAGGCATGTAATTCAGAACATAAGAATTTTATTTCAGAATGTTTCACTAAATGTTAACCTTCAAGTTACTGTAGGTATGTTAAATAGATTAAAAATTCCGAGAGGCACAACAAAAATACTATCATATTATTTACCAAATCTTCTTGAATAATTGATAGTTAATGAATTGCAATCAATCTCCCCGACTCCAGAATTGTACCAATTTTTTTAAAATTTGATGTTAACATCTTTTATTAAATAAAATTTAAAAACAACAAATGGTAACAACTGTCAGTCTCATCACTTGGAGGTCAAAATAAGAGCAATAATGAAGTTTATGTGGCTACAGTATCGTTGCCATGAATACATTCTATAAATTTGTCGTTATTGCTGAAGAAAAGCCATTTAAAACCTCAAACCTACAAATTTAATTAAATTAAGTAACATAGATAGTTATAAAGATTAAAGTGTTTAACTAAAAAAGATGAATGCTGATTTGCGGTGGTAAAATCCTAAATAACGGCTCTAATTTTACTTGCACTTTTTTATTATTTTTTTATTTATACATAGTTTTGGACACTTTCACACCGCACCTCATGTACACACGCTCACATCCAGACGTTTGATCAATTAACAAAGTAGAAGTAAAAGAAGTATACCAGTACCTTTTAGGCTTTAGGGAGACCATCCACAAGATTTCTCCACTGTTATAGGCCTACAGCAGCTCATTTTGCTGTTGTAAATGAAATACTGTTGGAGAGCAGCTTAGCTCAGTCGGCTAAACTGGTGGTAGCCTCTGTGTGTGTGCTGAACCGTGGTAATCTCTAAGCCCCTGGTTAAATTCCCATCGCTGCTCTGTGTTTTAGCTGGCGGGCTGAAATTCAACTTACGACAGCAGTCTTTCGGATGAGACGTTTAGGCCGTTGGTCCTGTGTGCACCACCACTGTGTGTCTGTGTAGCCTAGGTAGGCTGAATTTTGTAGGCAAATTTCTAGGCTAATTTCTAATAATATTAGGCTAGCCTAGGCCTAACTAATAAGCCAAATAAACTAGGTCTAGGCTAGGCCTAGCCTACAAAAGTGAAAATGAATAAAAAAAATTTTCATCTGTCATATAAAAAACAAATAAAAAAATCCAGATACTAAAACAGCATAAAAAATATGTTTTTGAAATTATCGAGATGCACTTGGGCCTACAGCAGCTAGCTAAGCTAGGCCTAATCTCATCATCAATAACGAGACCATCGGCATCATTGCCCTCATTATCATCATCTCGTCGGCAACTCGAAACGGGCGAGCGATCTTGGGTAAATTTACAACGAACGGTAAACTGAGATACAGATAAATTAAACAGATGATAACAAAACTACCACACTTACCAATTTTATGTAGATATTTCTGTGTTGCAATATTATCCAAAAAACAAGAAATATTCCATCAGCAAATTGATGGGCTGTTCATTTCAACATCTTTCGAAAAAACACAGCAGTATAATGATGCACCCTCGATAAACAGCTTCCGATTCGCCACGATAAGCGATGCTCCTCACCTACTGCTGCTGCATGCTCCTCCTTGCTGCTCTGCTGTCATCGCGTGAAACTGGGCCTTGTTTATTTTAGATCAAAGCAATTGCATTACAATAGCGCCCTCTACAGTCGATTCCCTGCAATGTTATTTTTTTTCTCCTCCCTCAGAAAAAAACATAATACAGAAAAAGGTATTTATACGGGAATTTTTTTCTCTCATTCTAATTTTCAATTATAAGCTAAAAACTAACTAATAGATAAAATAAAAAATCCAAATACAAATTATTATTTTCTCAAATGTTAGCTCAACATAGGAAGTAAGTATCTTTAAAATATCCACATTTAAAGTATTCATTTTTGTTATTAAAAACTAAATAACATAAAATACTTAAATAATATTATCATGATTTATTAATCTAAATGTAATAGATTTTTAAATTTTCCTTCATGAAAGTAAGTATTTTCATTCTTAAATACATTTTTTTTATAACGTTTTTAATGTATACGTAAATGTATATAATATGAATGTATGGATATATTATTTTATTATGATTGAAAGAAAGAGGGACTTGCAATTTGATCAATATATGATTTCCCAAATAGCAGGTGTATAACAATAATGAATAGACCAGACTGATGGGTGTGCATGAACTGCCCTAGATAATTATATATTAATAAAATCAAATTCATAGAAGACTTTGCATAATCCTTTGAACAATGAAACTGTTGGCAACTTTGTATTACTCAGAAAATAAATGATATAAGAAATACTTCACTTTGTTCCATATTCATATTTTAATGAATTTAAACTACACATGACATCAAAATAATTCCATGGATACAGTAAAATTGTTGAGGGCAGTAAACATTTCTGCATTTCAGTACAATTTTTCTTATATAAAACTTTCAATATATTATCGCTAAATGTTATCAATAGATTAAAAAAAAAAAGCTTGTGATTTAAATATAAAACAGCGGATTAACACTATATTCATAAAAATGTTGAAGTTATAAATATTAGAAGAATCCTGACAGAGGATCATGGGTAATAATGGTGATGATTATCAATGCCATTAACCTATCATTGTTTCAATTAATAAAATCCCCTAAAACTAATTTAACATTAATTAATAGATTCATTCAATTGGTAAATATATTTGACCTACCAAATTTACTTATAAATTTAATTAATCAATAATTTATGAGGCTCCATTAGAACATTTTCTGATTGTAGCATTCCAATGATTACTGTTGTTACAGTCTCAAATATGTTCAATACATTGCTTAATTATTATATATTTATATACAGAAATGATATCAGAATGGACATGTTAGTCAGACATATTAGATACAATTAAATAAGTAAAACCAAAACCAAATAGAATCTGAAAGACAAGAAAACTAAACATAAAATGTTACTTTGTTCACTACATGTAAATCAACATGACTATCCATTAAGTTAATCATAATGCAATTGCTAATGCATAATTACCTTATTAGGCCTACTATATTTCTAAATTTTTATGATTATGTATGCAACAATAATTATATATGTTATTAATTTATCTAACTCACCAAAATGTATACAAAAATATATTTTTATTTAATATACATATTTCTAGATCCATTTACACATTTTACGAAACAAGTTAATTATTGAAATTTCAGGGGCAAATATCTAAATAACAATGGATTTGTTATAGCCCTTTTTTTCTATTCCCCTATACACAGTTGTAATTTTCACATACCATGCTTTACAAAATATCACCTATACCTATTATCAATTAATAATTATTATTATTAAATAACAATTGATTATATAATTATTTCATATTTACTGAATTATTTCATAATTACCAAATAATTCACCTAATATACAATAATACAATTTTTAGATTGATTAAATCAATTAATATAATACTCTTTAAAAGAATCATTAAAAAGTAAAATACACCAATTCGAAACTGTTCATACAGTTAATTACCAATAAGTTTTCATGAACTAAGACGTTACTGATCTGTAGGTGGTCTGATCTTTGAACCTTGGGGGTTCAGCAATCAGATAATAAATAGATATGCATGGGGAGACTTAGCTACTACTGTAAACTAAACACAAATGGACTTTAAAGGCACTAAATAAATATATACTGAATTTTCAATCCCGTACATTAAACAATTATAATACAAACAGAATACAAGTAAGTGTTTCAGTGATGCCTTTCTTACACATCAGTCAGCCATTATTTTTTATGAATATAAACACATTATTTGATTATTTAGTTTAAACTAATTTAAATTTTGTCAAAATCCTCAAACTGATCAATAATCAAATAATTGATGTCATGCCTCTTCTTAGTTTTTTATATTTGTATTTCTTTTTATGAAAGACAAACAATGAATAACAGCGAAAGTTTCTAATTTTAAGCAAAAAAAAACCACACATAAAAGTCCATGTGAAACAGAAAATTGACAATCCACATAATCATGGAATGAATTATAAAAAAATAAACAGGTAAAACATAATAATCATTGAACTAAACATAATTAATCTACTTTAAAATTGCAAATGTTTAGTTAAATAGTTGTAAAATTTATCAGTTTAGTATATAGAAAAAACATTCTCAGAATTTCACCTGGTTCCATAGTATAAAAATTATCTGTTTTGCTGAACTAACTTATTAGTTGGTTCAACAAACCAGACATTTTTTCGAATAAAACATTTTGACTAAAATGTCAAAATATTAATTTGTAAAAAGAAAATATGCAAGGAGATGAGGTAATTCTATTATATTCAAAAGTTTAGTTCCGCTTATGGAAACTGTGTTAACAGATATCTGCTATGAACTGGTATGCAATCTTGAAGCCACACATAGAAAGTCATCCATATATTATGTTAACAAACCTTATTATAAATATTTTAAATATTAATATATTATTATTATTAATATTGAAGAACTTATAATTGAATATCTCAGTAGACTAGATGACATTCTTCCAAGTAATAACAATTAGAATAACAATATAATACTACTAATAATAGCAACAATAATATTACATATTTACAATTCTGATAACATATTAGTATAATGGAAAACCCAATAAAATAACTAATACAACAAGATATTAGATAATTATAATATTGTCAATAACTGAGCCATTTTCTTTCAGCAAATTTGTTTATTTTTAAATACTTAATTTAACTACATTTACCATGTTTGATCATTGCCACATCATAATTTAAAAAGGGACTAATTCAGCATGGAATGTTCAACAGTTTGTTTTGACACCTTTCCCTTGATAATTTAAATTATGAACTACAAAAACGCTCAACTTAAAATGAAGGGATTAAAACCAGAATGACCAATCCCATAAGCCCATTAAAACACACATGTAACACACACAAAAAATGTGGGTTTTCCTTGTCTATTTTATATATGCTGAACAAATGGCAAATGAGCAGCCAACTATGTTTAGTCTAAGGAATAGACTTTTCAACACTCGGCGCTATGAATCTGTTAGAAATAGCGCGGTATACATCATTATAGATGGATATAAAAGTAAATCCTTGTGATACTTCCCCTGGGTGGGATGCTATTTCACTGCAGGTTACTCCCAGCAATTTGCTGGTTCCCATTGATCCAGCTGGGTAGGCTGAAGCAATGTAGATAAAGTGCCTTGCTCAAGGACACAAGCGAAGTGTACAGCGAAGGATTGAAACCCAGACCTTGAGGTTGGGAAACCAAACCGTTTTCACTGAGCCAAACTGCTTATGCTACATAGATAGATATGGATCGTGAAATTTCTTGAATCTTGTTCATCATTATAAATTTTCATAGTCTACATAACCATTGAAAACTATGTGAAGTTACTCTCCTAATTATTTGGTGAACGATGAAAACAATATAATACTATTTTAAAACAATTATTATACAACACAAAAATGACATCATGTGTATGGTCAAGGGAACGGAGTAATAATTTTGAAGATTTCATAGCTTCAAAATATTTATAAAAAAAAAATTTTGAGTCAGACCATTCTGGTTTTTAGTCCTTCAAATAACAAACAGAATTACACATAATTGACAATTAAAAAGTAAAAACTCATTAAAATTGATATGCAGTTCTGAACAGGATCATTCTTATTAAAAAGAGATTAAAAACAGATATTTTAACAATTGTAACTTTTTGTTAAAATGATAATTACCAGTCATAAAAAAGAATGTAATTATTTACCTAAATGGTAGACGATAAAATCTTAATCGGAGGGTTAAAAAAACAAGACAAACATCAAACGTGGGTAGTCTTTGCCAGCCTTTGATACTGGGTAAAATTACCTGATGTCCTTTGGGTATCGTCCATGCAACTGTTTCTAGCGATTTCAAGCTTTCGTCCATGCAAGCATTATACGATCAGTTACAATACTAAGCCTATTCATGCATATTCTCTGCAAATAGAAACATTTAATCAAAATAAAACTACAGCATTTGCAGGGAAGTAAAACAAGCATACAAGTAACTTTAGCAATTGAGTTTTGCATAAACTGAGTGTTAGCTATTTGTAACTTGGAATTACAATTAAAATTTTACAAAGAAAATTTCCAAAGAAACATTAAGTTTGCATTTGCAGGGAAGTAAAACAAGCATACAAATAATTTTAGCAATTGAGTTTTGCATAAACTGAGTGTTAACTATTTGTAACTTGGAATTACAATTAAAATTTTACAAAGAAAATTGCCAAAGGACATCAAGTTCATGCGTGATGTAATTCGAGAAATTAAAGGGAGATAGTTAACAGTCAGTCAGGAAGGAAGTTATACAATATTAAATAATTACTGTTCATCCAGTTCAAACAGACTCAGTTTTCAAATTGCATTTTCTTTAATTAACATTTTTTTTGATATACAGTAACTAATTACTGTTCACCCAGGCCAAAAACAGTTTCAGTATAGGTATTATCTATGTATTATGACAGGCTTTTGAATCTGATATGGTAAATTTAATTTATTATTACTATATAATTAACTTAATCTAAAATTTAGTTAAAGGAAATTTGCTTCACTGTGTATTAATATCCCCTCTGCTGGCGATTTAATAATCAATATTTGTACACACAGTATAATACTGACATAGAGCTAGACATATATGTGATGTTCCGTAATCATTTGACTAGAATGTCAAATAATGTACTTCAAGCTATCAAGTTGTTGTTTATGGCAAATAACTGTAATTTGCCCATAAGTGGGTGTGATATGACATCATCATGCACATATATGGGTACAGTATATTACATAATGCCCATATATGGTATAATATAACATCATCATATCTATATACAGGTGATATTATATCATGATGTCCATATATGGTTATGCTGACATTATCATGTCTATATACAAGTACAATATGACATCATTTTGTCCTTATATGAGTAGGATATGAATTCATCATGTCCATATGTTATTCTAGATTAATATGACATATGTGGGTATGAAATGATCTCATTATGCCCATATATGAGTATAGAACATCATCACATCCATATATGGGAAGGATCCATATATGGATATGTTATGACATCATGCCAATACATGGGCAAATCAGATATTTGTCACAGAAAACTGCATGGATGAAGCTCCACATGCATTCACAGTAAAAAAAACAAATACACATGACTTCAAAAATACGTTCAAAAATAGACTATGAATACAAACATTACGCATGCTCAGTGCTATAAGATGCACACAAAGTAGAACAGAACAAGCAGAGGTTTCATCAAAGAACATTTTTAAAGGTCATTCTAGATCTACTTGATAAAGTAAGATGTAATACTGCTACTCACTACTTACTTCAGCAAAAAAAAACAAAAAACACGTTGATAAACAACCTAACATAAAAAAAAGTTTCTTGCACTGTTCATCCTCTTGTTTACTACATGGATTTGTATTCTTAGCAACATCACAAGAATAACATAATCATACAGTCATATGACATCAATATCAGTATTTTTCACGTTACACTAATTTTTGATGTCTTAATATAAATAAAATTCACTGTGAATGCAACCATATTGGTTTGGACCATTTTGGTTAAGAGATGGGACAGAAAGGACCGATTTCTAATCTAAAAATCTTCAAAAATAATTTCACTGGTATTAATGAAAACAGGCACATAGTGACAAGATGTATATAAATATCTTATTTTTTTTTTATCTAAAATGAATTTTTTTCCTCTGTATATAGGTAGGTGACCAATTTCAGGTATTAATAATACTTAAGATGTTGAATACGGAGGGCGCTATTGATAATTTTTCTTCTACTTTGATTGATCCACAATTTTGTTCTTATATATTGATATATAGTAACAAAGTGACAATAACTTAAAAAAACAACAATGATAAATATATTTTATGAGCAAGGGCCAAGGATTATTAACATTGTACCCACCCATTTTGTTATGCTACTAAACGGCAAAAATGAAGAGAATTAGTAGATATGAACCGCAGATCTTATAATGACAAGATAGTGCTCTCTGCAAACATGAGAAAGCGCTCTCTGCAATTTTACATGTAACAAATAGAAGCATCGATGTTCATTAAAAAGAAGCATAAAAAGTAATGGCTTTTGAGAGAGGGCATGCTAGTTGTTACCATGGTTGTTACAGAAATTGCACACAGAAATTGCAAAATGCGCTATCTTTAAAGATTTGCGATGTAAAATTTGCGAGAGGGCGCCCTACACTGCATTTTTACACAATTTGCACGCAGAAATCGAAGATTTTCGCTATCTTGCTATAATAAGATTTTCGATATGAACTAAATGAACATGCACAATAATGGTAAAAAATGACTACAAATGATAATTAAAATATCATATTTACTGAGTATAAAGCCTGGTATAGAATACAAAATCTACTGAAAATTAGGAGGTGGCTTATTCAGTATCGTGATTCAGATTTCTTTTAAACATGCAAAATTACAATTGTTGGTGGCGCTACAATAACACTGTATGCTTAATGACCATCTCCATTAAGATGGATGGTACAGAAATCAGTTTCATCAATACAGCTAGCTCTGAACACATCATATCTGATTATGATTCAGGGAATTAACTACACAAGCAGCCCAGAGTCAGCCAAGTGTTAATCCATAAACAACTAGGCCAAGGCAAATTTATAATTTCTGGAAATATTTGTAGATAGTCAAGATGTACAATTTTTTTCATGGATCAATTGGTTGGAGACCAAAGCCTTCAATAATAAACAGAAGGTGGCATTTCTAGGCACCTATAGAGGTGCAAAAACCTTCTACTTCTCACTTGTTCAACTTCTATGCCTTAAACAACCTCTATAATGAAATGGTTTGTGCCACGTAATTGTACTGTTTTTTCTACAGGCATGTTTTCTGATTTCCCTCAACTGTAGTGATAAGACTAGCAGTGCAGGCTCACTTGCCCATTATTTCAGATTATATCAGAAGAGTAAATGATACCCATGAGCATACTCGGATAAAGGCTAGCATCTGACATCAAGCCTAAACTGGGGGATGGGCTTATAATCTAACATAGGCTTATACTCAGTAAGATACAGTAATAATGATAATAGTAATAGTAATAATGATAATAGTAGCAACAAAAATAATAAAAAACGTTAATAATAATAATATATAAGAACCCTGTAAATATATTATTAAGCCTATTTCCTTAAAGCTACTGCCCTTTGATTCATTTCAAAATATAATAATAAATAATAATAATGTCATCTTATTAGGTGCACGTATCCATCTCTTGGTAGAGCTGCTCGCGGCGCCGTTTTCCACCTGCAGAGTGTACATGTAGCCTTTTTTCTGCATTATTATTTTGAATTAATTAATTTTATTTAAATTATTTATTTATTTATTTTTATGTATATTTATTTATGACAGACCTGACATAGATGGGAAAGATAGGTAGAATAAGATGCAAATACTCTTTGGGGTCACCATCCACCACCACTGTCGCGCATTCCCGGACCTCTTGAAATCTACAACTTGGTATCGTCATATAAAGAACTATCAAAGGCCAAAGAATCAGAAGAAGGCTCAGATGAAGGATCTGATGAAATGTCTGACGAAGGGTCAGATGGAGGATAGTAGATAAAAAATGGAAGAGGACGGTAAGTTTGCTTATTACCTTGGCTTGAGTATGTGTGTCCATTACCGTTGGTATGGGATAAGGAATTTGACTCTAGATTACTCTTGCTGTACCTGCGTTTCTCCTCCAACTCTTGACAGCTTTCGCGGAACTTCTGCTCGAAATCAGCAATAGCCTGGAGACAAAGAAAAAAACTTTCTCACTACCTACTTTATTTGTTATTGATGGACGATGCAGAGAGAGCAGCTTAGCTCAGTCGGCTAATCTGGTGGTAGCCACTGTGTGTGCGCTATACCGTGGAAATCTCTAGATCCCCGGTTCAATTCCCATCGCTGCCTCTCCTTGCATTTCAGCTGGAGGGCTGAAATGCAAGTTACAATAGCGCACCGTCTTTCGGATGAGACGTTTAAGCCGTTGGTCCCGTGTGCATTTATGGCCCATGTGCACGCAGTACACTCTTCGGAAAAGAGTAGGGGATTGTCTCCCGGTGTACTGTTCAATCACCACCAGAAAAGGACCCCACTGGAAATAAGTCTTCTTCTAGACTTTCGTGGGCTATCCTTAGTGTTTACACCGAATAAATCCATTCCATCCATTCCATTCCATACCATGTAAATAAATCAACTACATTGCTTACTTTGTACATTTGCACTATAGTGTTCTATGGTCGTGTATTGGAACACTAGTTTAATTAAGTTAAAATCTAATTTTAGAGGACTGTATGTATTGAAATTAGGAATAGGAGTGATTTTTAATTCTTGTTTTAGTTTACTGTATAATATTTGGTTTTTGTAACAAGTGGCACATAACAGGGATGGGATATATTTAGCATTATTATGAAAAGCTGACTCTTTACAGGTAATATAGAAACTCTTCAAAAATATTTGGTTTCTATTTCAATTAATTTTGCAGTATATAGAAATCCTTATAAAAAATAGAGCAGCTAAAAATTCCATTTTGTGTTGACAATACAATTGATTTAAAAAGAAAACATTTATCTTACCTGATTACCTTCCTCCTCGACACGAGTCCTGATCTCCTCCATTTTAGTCTTCAGTTCCTCGGTCTTCGTGGCATGCTCTTCTTCAAGCTACGAAAAAAACAACACATATATCTGTATAATATTTATATATTCATTTATTCTTTCTTTATATTGAATGACACTTTCAGTGCTAAAGCGTTGTTTCCAAAGTGGTTCAGTATAAACAAATAAGAAAAATTAAACAATGAACTTTATAAAGTATATACCAGGTAAAAAAAAAAAAAAAAAAAATATACATTATAGTTATATAACAATCAAAAAATACTTTTAAATGAAAAAAATATATGTAAAGTAAATGAAATACTTGTTTTAGATTTGACAGACCTGACCTCATCATGATGGGCGCGTTTATTTTTAAATTCCCAAGATCACTTTTTAACCAATTTAAAGTGTGTTTCAGGCCATTCTGGGCATTTCAAAATTTTCTCGCTGAGGAAAACTATCGGATCCTGCGTATCACCTAAAATTCATCTATGACGAATTTCAACCTAGTTGTTGTTCCCATTTTTTACTAAGTTTACTCCATTCTAATGCATTTAAAATATCAATTGGAGTTTTTATGTCAGCAGATAGTAAAATGCCCACTACAACTTCTTTGGTATATAATAAAGCAAACCACTTAAATTGCATTTTATGGACATTTTTATTCAATATCAATATCTGAATCTTTTGTTGTTCACACACACTATCTAATGGTTAGCAGGATCCAGATAAATAACATACACGCTCACCCTCAAGTTCATACAAGAAAATCCCCCATCCAGATATAAAGAAGATGATGGTGATCATTGGCCTACTGGAAATTGGAAATGATATGCCTGATTGGTTAATGACGGAAACGCACTCAACTTGCTAACCGACAACGCTTGCTATCCAATAGCGTATCCATATCCTGGGAACGGTTACAGCTAATCGATTGGGCATTCACACATGCGTGCTATTAAGTAGGGCTAATGG